ATGATCGGTGAGGGTTAGCAGCGCGGTGTCCGTTGAATGGTTGCTTCTAAAGCCATGCTGATTCGCGGAAAACAAATGGTGAGAACAAAAATAGGCGTTCAACTGTTCGAACACGACTCGCTCTGTGATCTTCCCTATAGTCGGAAGAATGGATACCGGTCTATAGCGGCTGAAGTCATCAGCTTTGGAAGCCTTTGGAATAGGGTGCACGATAGTGAGTTTCCAAGACTCTGGAACGGCATGTGATGTGATGCTGGAGTTAACAATATGTGTCAACACATCTTACTTACTTACTTACTTACGAAGTACAGAATTTGGATAGGCCAGACTAGGCCTTTAGAAACCTTTCTAGTCGAGCTCCTCGTGCGTCTGACTATTCATCTGCGTGAGGGATGTCGTGTGCATGGTGTGCCCAGTGAGCGTCAAGCCGGTTTTTGAATTGGTTCAGGGTGTCGGATGCGACGACCACTGACGGTAGGCTGTTCCAGTCGTTGATGACCCGGATGGAGAACGCGTTGCGCCGGATCCTGGAGACCGCTCGCGGCTTGGCTAGTCTCCATTGGTGTCCTCTTGTAGCAGGAGTTCTGTCGGCTGCCATCTCGAAGAAGTTGCGAGGGTCCATGTCCAGTCCACCGCGGAGCAGCTGATAAACCGCGATCATATCTCCACGCTTCCGTCTGTAGTACAGCGTTGGTAGCTGCAGCACTTTCAGACGCTCTCGATACGGGAGGTGTCGAAGATCGGGAACCAGCTTGGTCGCCCGCCTCTGCACCCGCTCTACCAGCCGCTGGTCCGCCCGGTTGAAGGGACCCCACACTAGGTTCCCGTACTCAAGGTGGGTCGGACAAGGGCCTTGAGGAGCAGGGGGAGGGTTGATTTGTCAAGAAGGTGGAAGGACCGACGAATCACTGCCATCACTTGTGTTGCCTTCCTTACGGCCGCAGCAGCCTGCTTCCGGAATTTGAGCTGGGTATCCATGAGGACGCCAAGGTCTCTCTCGACATCCGACTCCGCGACTGTAGTTCCCCCCATCCGGTATGTGTGGTGCTGGCTGCCTCCGCCGATGTGGAGCACCTTGCACTTTCCAGGGTTGAATGCCAGCTGCCACCTGTCTGCCCAGTGAAGTGCCGCGTCCAGGTCCTCCTGCAGGGATGCCGAGTCGGACGGAGAGCAGATAGATCGATAGAGTTTGCTGTCGTCGGCGAATATCTTATCCCGCAGCTTAGCGGCTCCGGCAGGTCGTTCACGTACAGCGTGAAGAGCAGTGGAGCAAGGACTGAACCCTGTGGAACACCGCTTGGTACAGGAGCCCAGTCTGACTTGCTGCTCCCAACAGTGACTCGCTGTTTCCGTCCTTCCAAGAATGCGCCGATCCATCTCAGAATCTTGCCTCCGATGCCGTGAGCTTCAACTTTCCTCAGCAGTCGTCTAGGTGGGACTGTGTTGAACGCCTTGGCCAGGTCTAGGTATATGACGTCGCCAGGTCGGTTGCCCTCAATCATGCTGCTCCAATCTTCTATCGTTAGCAACAGCTGAGTAGAGCAGGACCTCCCTGGACGGAATCCGTGTTGGGCGTCATTGATCAGGTTCTCTGACTTAAGGTGTGCCATAAGCCGGTCGCGGATGATCGACTCCAAGAGCTTGCACGGAACAGACGTCAAACTGACTGGCCTGTAGTTCCCTGGTTCATCTTTACTTCCTTTCTTGTAGATTGGAACCACATCTGCCAGTTTCCAGTCCTGCGGCAGGGTCCCCGTGTCCAATGACGATCGGTAGATGGAGGTAAGCGTGCTTGCTAACGAGTCGGCTGTTTCCTTGATGATCCGTGGGTGCACTCCATCTGGGCCCGCGGCGGAAAAAGGTCGTAGGGCAGCCAGTCTTCTTTCTCACGAGTTCCACGGTGAGATCGATGTCAGTGACAGCTGGACCGTGGTAGGTGTTGTTCGGCTCCGGGATTTCTCCGGGGGGTTCCATGACGCAGACTGAATTAAAAAAGTCGTTCAGTGTCGTCGCTTTCTCGCAGTCGTTCGTAGTTAGGGTGCCGTCCGCAGAGCGTAAGTTCTCAACTCCGCTTGTAGTCTTCATCCTGGAGCCAGCGTATCGCCAAAAACCCTTGGGATTTTCTTTCAGGTTGGAGGCCAGTCTCCTTTCGAAGTCTTTGCGCAGGTTTCGGGTGAGTCGCCTGAGGTCGTTTTTGCAGCGAACGTACCTTGCATGACTGATGTCATCCATTTCTCGAGTGTAAGCGGCCCAGAGCTTCTTTTTCCTGTTCTTTAGCCTCAAGGCTTCCCTGTTTATGTAGATGCTTCTGTTTTTCCTTGGACACGCTTTGGGGACGCATGCGTTCACCAGGTGGGCTAACTCGGTCTTGAAGGTGTCGTAGCGTTCTTGCATATCCATATGCATTTCATCACGCCACTGTCTCCGTCTGATCAGGTTGTTAAGCCGTAGATAGTTGCCCTTGTTTAAGTTGAGTCGTCCCTCCTTCACTACCTCAGGCTGCATGTAGCAGCACACCTCAAATTGCAGTAACATGTGGTCACTGTTGCCAATAGGTGGGTGATAAGCAAGGTTGGTCACCAGGCCTTCTTCGTTGGAGAGGATGATATCTAGGCTGCTTGGTCTCTCGCCAGCACGGTATCTTGTGGCTTTGGTTACGTGCTGGGTGAGGCCGCATTCCTGTACGCCCTCAACAAACCTTTTGGTGTAGTGACCATCAGGAGCGTGGGAGAAGCATGGGTGTCGATTTGTATACCTTTGGGGGTGCTGCAGCACCCCCAATGCTCAAATGAGCACCCCCAATGGTTTTCCGGGCACCCCCAATGATTTTGTCCCTCAATAACTCCCACTAACTCTGCTTGAGGAAAATAATTGTTCTGCAGTCTTTCACTACAAAAAATAAAACAATTACGCAATTTACAAGGCATGAAATAAAGATGTAAAGAAAAGAAAAGTTAGTTTTAAGAAGAAGGGCGAAAAAAGACGTTAAATTGCAAAGACACTTGTGTGGGTCCGTCGTACACGGGTGTCGGACTCTTAGAGCTGCTGGTGCGTACCCTTTACAAGCCGGCAGGGGGCTCCAGAGACCGGCGACGGGCCCTCAGAGGCCGGCAAAGGGCCATCAGAGGCCGGTGGTACCTTCAGAAACCCTGCGGGGTCGTCTTTAGAGACCGGAACGGACTCAGACGCCGATGGGGCCCTCAGAGTCGCCGGTGTGGGGCCTTCAAATGTCACCGGTGGCAGGGTGGCCGTCACATGCGCACTAGTGGGGCCTTCAGAAGCTACGATGCTGGGCCCTCAGAGCCGCCGATATAGGGCCTTAAGAGGCACTAGTGTGGGGCCCTCAGATATGGCAATGTGGGGCCCTCGGACTGGAGGCGCCGGTGTGGGGGCTTCGCAGTCGCCGGTGACGGCCCTCACAGGCGCCGTTGTGGGGGCTCTCAGAGACACTGGTTTAGGGCCATCACAGGCGCGCGTGGGGCCCTCAGAACTGCTGTTACGGAACGGACCCTTCATAGGCCGACAAAAAGATATCAAGAGGTCACCGGTGCCTTCAGGAGCCTTGTGGGGTTCACTCGGAGACTGGCCTGGTGCGCTCAGACGCCGCTGGGACCCTCCGAGTCACCTGTGTGAGCCGTCAGGGTCGCTGGTAACTGACAATGGCCCTCAGAACCGCCCATGTAGGGTTTTTAAAGGCATTGGTGTAGGGCCTCAGAGTTAGGGGTGTGGGGCCCTCAGGGACGCCGGTGAGGGCCCTTACAGTCGCCGTTATATGGGCCCTCAGAGAAATGGGTGTGGGGCATAGGCGGGTGTGCAGCTCCTAGAGCTGGCTCCCTATAGGCCGGTTAAGACCCCCAGAGGCCGGCAAGTGGCCCTCAGAGGCTGGCTTGGGGCCCTTATGGAGATCTTAATGTTGGTACTTGTGGGCCCATGAGGTGTTCTTACGAGCCCTGTGGGGCCCTTCTGAGTCTAAATATAGCCAACGTGGACTCTCAGCGGCCAATTGGCGCCGCAGGGCCCCTCAGGCCCGAATAACCCGATGGGCCCCTGAACCTGATGGGGGGGGGGGGAAATCCCGTGATTATCAGTACCTTATGGTGATACCCAACCATGCCTTGCACGGTTGTGCCCCATGGCAAAGCTGCAATCTTTCACCCGGTGCAGGGGTTGAGCACCCCCAACCATTTTGAAAAATCGACACCCCTGGGGAGAAGTGATCGTTCCAGTCGATCTGGGGCATATTCACATCACCCGCAATCACTATGTGGGAGAACTTTTGGGAAACAACAGTTTTCAGCAGAGATATTAGGTTGTCAGTTGAGGTGTTCCCGTCACTGGATGGGCTTCTGTACAGACATCCTATGAGCAGCTGGTCAGCACCTAGCAAAGGTAGCTTGACCCACAGCTGTTCTTCATAAGAGTAAAGAGCAGGCTGGGAAAGACACCTCTGTAGCCTGCCACTTTGCACTGACAAATATGCAGATGCTTCGTGCGCCCCCCCTGTCCCAGTTTATCCTTGACAGGGTCAAAGTTCAGGAACATGGTATAGTTTGGAAGGGCCATAGTTGCAGGGTGCATTGGATGGCTCTGGGCTTTTGGGATGACCTCACACAAAAGTATCAGATCAGGCTCGTTGTTTGAAATGAACATGGCCAGGTCCTCCCTCTTGTTTAAGTATTGGTCAATGTTTGTGTACAGAATTGTTAGTTTCCTTCGACCACTTCTCTCCATTTCATCTAGTCATTTGTGATGGGAGATCGAAGAGGGTGGTACAGTGAGATCAGGCACTTTTTAACAAAACGAATACACAGACCGTCGGCGCCATCATCAAAGTCTGGTGATGATTGATGCAAGATTCTTATAGATAATGCTTGTCCACGTCCGAATATCAATTTCTTAGCTGGATATCTGCGAATCTTGCTGCGAATATCAATCTGCTACTTATTTGATGGTCGTGTAGATTTCGATGACCTTGAGCCTTGGATTTCGACATTCATGACGCAGTTTTGATGCAGTAGCACGTGGTTCAGCACGCGTGTTGTGTTGTGATGCGCGGTTGGACTCTCAACTGAAGGATATAGAGGCTATATAAAACTCAACTCACGCAGAAAACGAGAGATCTTGAGTTGGAGTTTGAGATGGATCAGCATGGTAAGAAGCAGCATGGTAGTACTGTGGGCATTACAACCAGTAAAACGCCTTCTGGGCGAAGAACGAGCGAGCGAGATGGTGAGCCCTGCACGTGCGGAAGGACGAGAGGGTACTTTGACTTCCAACGGGCCTGTGCAAAGCACCCTTCTAACTGGTAGGTAGCTAGCGGTGTGCCAAATTTGAACGAAATGGGCCCAGCCGTTCCTGAGATCTTGAAGTGGCATTCTGCACGTGCGCACGTGCAAATGGGGTCCAAACTGACTTGCATGACACCGGTCCCCAACCGTGTACCAAATTTGAGCGCAGTCGGCCCAGCCATTCTTGATGTTGAGATCTGGAAGCTCCCCCTGCACGTGCGCACGTGCAGTAGCACCCCAACTCAGTCGGGGAAACTGTGGTAAAATCTGCCATTTTTAGCAGTCTGCTATTTTTAACAGAAATCTGCCAAAAATGGGTACGGACCTGCTAAAAATGGGTACGCATGTGACGTCATCGTACCCAAATATAGCAGATTTGTGTACGGACCCATACAAAAACAGATTTGCGCACTACTTGAATCAAATGCGCATCAAATGCCTGGCAGATTCATGATGAGAATGTCTTAGCACGCCTGAATCCAACGTGCGTTGGATTCAGGCCGAAAAGATTCAGGCCAATGTGAGCCGAAGGCCCACGTTGGCCTGAATCCTTTCGGGGGCCTCCTGAAAACCTCAAGGGAGGGGCGGGCGCCCCCTCCGCCCCCCCTTGGCTACGTTCCTGAAGTACGGTACCCAGTTTTAAGGTCATAGGTCAAATGTTGATCTCTGAGGTCAGGTCAATGACCTAGAAGTTGGGAAAATTGAGACCTGTTGGGACATTGTAGTGTGGCTGCTATTTGGTTTTCGGGATGCTGAGTGCTGTTCACGGGCACCTGCGGTAGCTGCGGTAGCTGCGGCTCGGCGGTCAGCCGGGTAATGACGTCACAGAAAGTGGGGATGGGGCGGGTGGTGTGACGTCATACGGCTGCGGTCGGCTGCGGTCGCCTGCGTCTCCTGCGGTCGAAACGATCCGACCGCAGCGGCCGCAGGAACCATTTGTCATACAAAGTGGCGCGGCAGTTGCGCATTCGTGTTACTTGGGCGCAAAATTGACACAGCCGCCGCAGACGAACGCGTGATGACGTATACACAAGTGGGCGGGACTTACAGCCTGCGATCTACCGCAGCTACCGCAGTCACCGCAGGTGCCCGTGAACAGCACTCTGATCATGGATATCATGTTAGTTTTGATCACAGATGTTGCCTTGCATTTAGGCCAGGTCGGGACAGGTCAGGTCAATCAGTAGGGGTCCTGCTTGGTTAGGGTATTCGTGATAGGTAGGTGTCGATAGCCTCTGACAGCTTCGTAACTGTTACAAAGGCACCAAAACTACTTTTTTAATGTTCAAATGGTTGCTAAATTAGCCAGTGCCGGGCCGGTGCTCCCAGACTTCCGCGCTGGGCCGGGGGTGCCTGAACACCTCCCTTCTAACTTGGCTCCTGGGCCACATAGCGACGCGCGGTAAATGGCAGTCAAAAGAACATCCAAAATAAGGACGAAAACACTGCAGTAATTTTTGGGTCAGGTCAAAGGTCAGATCACCAGAGGTCACCAAAGGTAAAATGTTGGCCAATTCAACATTTTGGAAACCGCCAACGGCTAACTCGGGAACCGATAGAGCTGCAGCGCCGCGGAAAAGCGCATTTGATAGCGCTCTTTTAATGCTCTTTTGCCAACATGTCCTCAGACTTGACCTCAGATCAACTGGAGGTCAGTTGGCTTCCAGAGGGCAAAAACTAAAAAAAAACGTTTTTACGAAGTGTTTTTCAGCAATAACATGACTCAAAAGAGCCACGATTTTACTTTTGCCAGCATCGTGTTTCACTTGTCGAGACCCTTCAAATGAACCATAATTTGACATTGAAAGGTCGTTTCTTCGCGATCGGCCGCTTTTTACGCGGGTGTTTTGCGAACAGTGGCGCACCGAAGGGGGCCTTGGGCTCCCCCCCCCCGCTCCGGCATTTTCAGGAGGCCCCTGGGCACCGCTTCGGGTACTTACTTTTACTTGACTTTCCTGCCTGACTACTTTAATTCTGCACAAGAAGCACTATCTGGGCAGAGGCCAGGAGGCCTCTGGTAGGCGACCCTTGTTGAGCAGGAGGCCCCTTCTGGATGTGAGGTACCTTCTCACAGGAGGCCCTACCTGGGCAGGAATCACGAGGCCCCCTCTGGCAGGAGATCCTGTATGGGCAAGAGGCCCTGAGGCTCCCTCTGCACAGGAGGCCCTTTCTGGACAGGATTCAGGAGGCCCCCTCTGGTAGGCGACCCTTGATGGGCAGGAGTCCCCTCTGGCAGAGTACCTTTAATGCTTAGGAGGCCCCTTCTGGATGGGACGCTCCCTTTTGCACAGAGGGCCCTATCTGGGCAGGAGGTGGGAGGCCCCATTTGGCAGGAGCTCCTTTATGGGCAGGATACCCCGAGGCTTCCTCTGTACAGGACCCTTTCTTGGTGGGAGGCTACCTCTGCACGAGAGATTCTATGCGGGTAGGAGCCAGGAGGCCCCCTTCGGCAAGAGATCGTTAATACACAGGACTGGAAGCCCCTTCTAAATGGGAGACTCCCTCTGCACAGAGGCTCTATCTTGGGATGAGCCAGGGGGCCTCATTGGCAGGAGGCCCTCTACATGTAAATGGGACGTTTCATCTACAGGACACCGTCTCTGGGCAGGAGACCCTATCTGGATAAGAGGGTTGGCTTCAAAATAGGTTGATGTTAGAATGATATGCTTCCCATAAAAATTCCTCCTGCTCAAGAACTGCTGTGAAAATATTTTCTGAACCTGGAAGCGAGAATGATCCTAAGTAAAAACTTTTCTTTACCTTTAGAGGTAAAGTCGATTGTGGGAAGTAAAACTAGTATCAGGTTCTGGCGAGTCGATCGGTGCCAGTTTCAGTCCTCTACCTCCACTGGGTGGGCCACAGTCTGCTGCGCAAATTTGGGGTCGTTACCTTTGTTGACCTCTGTAGCCCAAATGGCTGGGAGTAACAGACAGCAAGTGATTTGGGCCACGTATTCCACACCTTAACCCTCGCCGGCACAGGCCATTTTGCGTCCTTCGACGGCACAAGGGGGGGGGGGGGGTTGGTACGACCCCCCTCGCGTTTGGCCCCTGATCGAGCTAGAGCTTCGCGGAAAAAACGAGCGTGCTGCCCGTCACGAGACGAAGCCGATGATACCCAATTTTAAGGTCCTAGGTCATCGGGTGACCTTCCAGGTCAGGTCAATGACCCGAAAACCGGGAACATCGGGACCTGTTATAAAGTCGTAAAGTGTGGCTGCTATGTGGTTTTCCGGGGTGCTGATCACGAATATCGTGTTAGTTTTGATCAGAGTTGATGTCTTTAAGCATTTAGACCAGGTCGGGTCAGGTCAGGTCAGGTCAACCGGTAGGGGTTGTGACGGGTATTCGTAATACGTGTCAACCACCTCTGACAGCTTCGTAACATGTTACGAAGGCACCAAAACTACTTCGTTAATGTTCAAATGGTTGCTAAATTCGAATTCAGCTAAAAAAAACTGGCCTAGAAACATGTAAAACTCGAAAAAGTGAACCGAGGTCACCCGAGGTCACCAAAGGTCAATTACCTGACCTGATCTTCAGGTGACCTTGACATCCACCCTAATGCATGGGAGCAACATCAAATCACATGTTTGAACGTTGGAAACCACGAAAAGCTAGCAAACGCGCGGCTAATGCGAGCCGACATACGCCGAATCGCGATTCTGGCCAAACATGGTCTCGGAAAAGAGGTCACAGGTCAAAGGTCATTTGGGTCAGGGTCATGAAATTTTCAGGGTAGGTGTGAAATTGATCCATGCGAGGGTACTGAAAGTTTCGTCGCGATCGGCCGCTTTTTACGCGAGTTATTCGCGAAAAACCTTAGGGGGGGGGGGTTACGCCATGTGGGGGAGGCCTCTGGTAGACGACCCTTGATGAGCAGGAGGCCCCTCCTGGATGTGAGGTACCTTCTCCCAGGAGGCCCTACCTGGGCAGGAATCGAGAGGCCCCCTCTGACAGCAGATCCTTCGTGGGCAGGAGACCCCCGAGGCTCCCTCTGCACAGGAGGCCCTTTCTGGACAGGATTCAGGAGGCCCCTCTGGTAGGCGACCCTTGATGGGCAGGGGCCCCTCTGGCGGGGGATTTTTATGCACAGGATTTTTATACTTTGCTACACCGGTTAATCTCAGCAAGTAAGAAAGCTAAAAAGACGCGGGGAAAACAATGGATTGCTCGCTATGAGATCTTTTAGAACCAGTATAACGCCTTTTGGGGCGACTAACGGAGCGAGCGAGAGGGTGGGCCTTGCACGTGCGAAATTGCGAGGAGGTACCTCCAACTGACTTGTGCACGGCACCCTACTAACCGGTCTCTAGCGATGTGCCAAATTTGAGCGCAATCGGCCCAGCCGTTCTCGAGATCTGGAAGCGACACCCTGCACGTGCGCACGTGCAAAATGGGTCCCGACTGACTTGCACGGCACCCTACTAACCGGTCCCTAACCGTGTACCAAATTTGATCGCCATCGGTCCAGCCGCTCTCGAGATCTGGAAACGCCCCCTGCACGTGCGCATGTGCAGTAGCACCCTAACCGCAACACATTGGGAATGCATTGCCTGGTGGGTGCCTACCTGTATGCCAAGTTTCAGCGAAATCGCCCCAGTAATTACCGAGTTACTGAAATGGGAACAAATTTGGCACCTCTTATTGTTGTATTTTGCACGTGCAGTGGGGGTCACTCACATAGATGAAAAGTATCCGACCTTTGGTAGAAGGGATGCAGCTACCCTATAAAAATGACCGCAAGACAATCGCTCAAGCTGCTGCTGAGATATGGGCCTCTCAAAATCATTGCTTTTGCAAAATGCTTGAACACCCTTGACTTTTCACGTGGCACGTGCCACGGCGGTCACTGAGATGTATTCTTGTATTCTTGTATTTTCATAAATCACCAACAGGCTTACGCCCAATGACAGGTGAAGTCATACGCACACGCATGCATCAACATGCATAAATACCCCCCCCCCCCCACACACACACAAACCACTTCTTTGCATCCGACAGAGGCCGACTGTCACATAACGCACGCCAGTGTTGACGCATACGCCGATGCCTCTCGCTTGAGCCGCCCGATCGAGTCAAAGAAAATATCTGACCTAGGCGAGAACTCAAGAAACTGATTGACGCAGCGAGGAATGCGCACAATAAGCCCTCCTGATATGGTGTTCACCCTGGCGAACGGCACATCAATGAATGGTGTGTTTCTGGTTGGCCTCGCGGATATATGGAGCTTAAAAGACCCAATTAAATATGATGATGAGATGAAGCCTTTAAACACCTTGCATAAAAACAGAACATCACACTTTGCGCGTCGTGCTCCTAAGTGTGGCACACGAAATGATGACAATAGGTCCGAGTACTTGAGCGACGAATTTCGTGGTGCGACAAGCCAGCCACATCAAAAACTTGTGTTGCACCCTCTCCACACGAACGAGATGAGATTTGGCCACTCCGCCCCATATCACTGAACAGTACTCGACCACAGATCGAACATTGGCGTAATAAGCCGCCAACACGGCCTGCCTGTCCAGCTTACACTTGGGGGAAGCCGACTGGAACGTTCGAATGAGGAGCCCGAGCGCTCTATTAGCCCGTGTGACCACTGAATGCACGTGATCGGCGAAATCTAGCTTTTGATCAAGAATGATGCCTAAATTTCGGATCGATGTGACATTTTCCAAAATAGTGCCATTGATCGAATATGTCGAGTCAATGGGGCTACGTTTAAGTGTGATTTTAAATGACTTGCATTTGGAGCTGCATTTAGCTTCAATTTCCAGTCGGCCGCCCAGCGTGTCACTGCGTTCAAGTCCCAGCGTGTCGCTGGAGCGTCTGAACATCATCATCGGACCTAACCTCGTGAAACAACTTCAGATCGTCAGCAAACAGCAAACAGCTGGCGGAAATAACAGTTGGCAGGTCATTCACATAGAGAGAGAACAGCAACGGAGAGATGTGACCCCCTTCCGGTGTTCCAGACACAACCGGAACCCACTCGGACACTTTCCCGTTCAACACAACGCGTTGTTTGCGCCTCTCCAAGTAGGACCTCAACCACTGCAGAGCGTTGCCGTCAACGCCGTACATCCTTTCGAGCTTATGCAGTAGCAAACAATGATTGACACTCTGAAATGCGCTGCTAAAATCTGTGTACGCGGTATCCAGCTGGGATTTGTTTGAGATGGCCGCCCATCCGTGCGACAGGAAGGACGCGAGGTTCGTGGCGCATGACCGGTTTGGGACGAATCCGTGTTGGAACGGAGAAAGGTGAGGCTGGACATGTTGGAAGAGTTGCTCGCTTACAATCTTTTCAAAGACCTTTGCACATAGGGGAAGAAGCGATACAGAACGGTAGTTAGCTGGATCGTTCCGCGATCCTTTTTTGAAAATGGGAACTATGTTGGCTTCAGACCACTTTTCAGGAAAGATACCGGATGAAAGGGATATGCGTAAAAGTTTACACAGAGGGGCGGCCAATTCATTTGCACACTCACGGAGAATGCGGGCGCTCAATCCGTCAGGACCACACGCCTTGCTGACGGAGAGCTCCCGGAGTAAACCACGCACAGCCTCCTCCGACACATTGAATTCCGACAGACGGTGGTCAACACAAGAAGGAACGTTGGGGAATACGGCGACGGTGGGGTCGGAAAATTTCGAAGCAAATGTGCAGTTTAGCAGAAGTAGTCAATGTATCAAAATGTATCAGTCAATGTATGTATCAAAAGTAGTCAATTACGGGGTAGAAGGGATGGGGCTACCCAGCAAAAAAAGACCGCAGGCCATTCGGTCCAGCGGTTGCTGAGATATAAGCCTCTCAGAAGCGTTACAGGCCGGGCCGGGCCGGGCCGCTCATACTGAGATTTTTCCGTTACCTATATTGAAAAGACTTCGCTTCGCTCGCTGCGCTCGCTCGCTCGTAATGAGCACCTACATTATTTACGTCGTGTAGGTATTCTTGTTGACAAACCAAACCATGCCAGTGGTATTATTCAGAGATATTTTATGGATCATCAATTACATAAGGAATTATTCAATTATTGGTGGTGATAACTCTGCAACTTTGCATTTTCTTGCTACATAACTTCTCCCTTTTGTGCTTTTATCTAGTCAACTCAATGTGAACTGACAATCAACGTTGGACCCCATTCCAGATCCACCAGTGTCTGAATTACTGCCGCTCATGCGGGCTGCATCAACGTCACCAGAAGGACCAAAGTGGTCTCGGAAGGGCTCTCCTGACAGCGACGAGGAATGGGGTCCTTCACAGAGTCTGAGGCACTCCCAGAGGGAAAGTGATTCCACTCCCATAGACAGTGGCTCTGAGAGCGACTTTCGGCCAGTTGTGAAGGAGGAGATAAAGATTGAAGTCACTTCACCAAGGGTAAGTTTATAAATGCATGGTGATCACCTCTCATTGTTTTTGTTTTTGTTTTTTGTTTTTACTGCAAGGTTGATAAAAGGGAATGGCAGCGCAAAATGTGTTCCAATTTTCATTTTTGTGGTTGAAGAGCATCTAATGTTTAATTGAATAATGTTGGTCTCTTGATCCGGTCTAGGTTGAGCGGCCGTCGTCTCCCTCGGTGTCGGACGACGATCCTTTGTCGGACAAAGCTCTGCAGTCTCTGGTGAAGGAGGAAAAGTTCCGACCTAGATCGCCGTCACCGTCTGAGGACTTCTTGGGGTTCACTGAGGTGGATCGAGACAGGTGAGGGCATGACTCAGTGTTGCTGAAATTTGAGTAGTTATTTGACATTCTAGACTATCCATTTGATGAAATGATATATATTTGTGGTGCTTCTTTTTTCAGTGCTTGTTTCATGTCCAATGTAAAAAGGGATATGCTACTGGGATGCCCGTCGGACAGTGAAGACTCGGCAGAAGGTAAGTTGACAGATGTCAGGAAAATGCATTTCGTCTCTCTATTTTATCATCGACCTTTGTATTGTACCTTTTGCAGACAAATTGTCAGTTTTTTAATTTTATTTGATTTAGACTCTACAAAGTGATGTAGTGGTCTGACAGTCATACGTTCTTTTGAATTGGCGCCTGAGATTAATGCCACCCAATCATACAAAACCATTCATTGTATTTCATTGCAGTCTTTGCCGAAGGAGAGTTCATGAAGAGTCCACGTCTCGTCATAAACTACCGTGATGTGGATGGTCTCGATGATGGTAACATATGTGAGTATTCTCCCTCCTTTTAGTCAATTACAACTTTTCCTCATCAACGGAGGAATTTACATGATAAGAGCTCACAAAATTGCAGACAAATAAGAACCACCAAACACGTACTGTTTCGGTGTAACAGAAACGTAAATGATAAAACCGTACTGTATCCTCCATCATGTCAATAATACTTTTCCGCCCTATTTTCTGACAGTTTGTGACGTGTGCTGCCGCGATTGGGACGGTGAATGTCCCGTCCATGGACCGCTAAAGATCATACACGATACCAAGGTAAGGGACTATCCTCCATAAGTCCATACCTATTATCTCTGTTCATGTTTTGTGTTGTTCTGTTTTAGTTACATCAGTAGGTGCCCCCCATATTTCAACATTTAATTTTGAATCTGTTCGATTTGGTGCTAAATTGCAAAATGACAATAGGTGCATGTGGAAGTTGTCGATTTTTATATATACAAAACTTTCTTGACAGTTATTGCCTGTGCTGCAATTTTGTCGATACTGACATGGATGCGACCAGTTCAACAGTTCTATGATCTTTGTTCCGAAAACATGCCGGCTGATTTCTATAGGTACAGTATAAGGATAAGCTCAATTCCTGCATTATATCATCCTCTGTCGACATTGCGCCCTACATAGGTACTAGAGATGTCAATCGGATACGAACTTTTTGGTATACCGATACCAAACCGATACCATCTTGGTATTTGGTATTTCAACCGTAATGTGTTTGGTATTTTGTTGGTATCATAAGCCCTCACTAATGTATAAGAGGCTAAGAAATCGGTAAAAAGTTGGTATTTCCCTCAGTTTCCCAAGTTGGTTTGGTTTCGGTATTTTCCCGTGGTTTTGGTTGGTATTTGGTTTGGTATCGGTATTCCGATTATCCGTAATTGACATCACTAATAGGTACATTACTATTCCAGGCACGACCCGGTATCGGAGATGCCGACAGGGACGTCAAGACCCTGCCGCCTTCTCTCAGCTCTGGTCAGTCGAGAAATCCAGCGTCTGGCACCGGTAAGTTAATGAGGCAAGACAAATGGCGATGCGTTTAGCAACTGCTGTATCATTTGGTAATGGTGCTTGTATTGCATAATTTGGTGTCCCGTGTATCAGTACAGTCATGTGTTTCTATTTAGGTGATTTCAAGTTATGCGTTTATTTGATTCCAGGAGTTTTGGCAGAAAAGGACCTTCCTGCGCGCCAAAGACTCGGTCCTTACGAGGGTATCTTGACCACCGAACAGGGTCAGGCTCGAACCACCGGGTACAGATGGCAGGTCAGTTTTGTCATTTCTGTCGAATCTCCTCTGCTCTTCTTGCGAATACATATTTTTGCTGGTTCATATATTGTATAAGAATATAGCGTCGGCCCCCATTGCTTTTACACTGTCACATGTCGCATCTCTTACTATGGAGTCATTTAGACGATTACAAACTTTTAGAACACATTTCAAACTAATGTTAGAAACATAGAAAATTGACAATGTTTTCATTGCATACGTGATATTTTTGTTTTGGTCCCAGGATTGATGTGATATTTTTGTTTGGTTCCTTGAATTGATGGACTATGTTTTTGTTTGGTACCTCAGATCAAGAAGGGTGACCGGGTGCATCACTCGGTGAATGCCGAAGACCCGAGCTGCAGCAATTGGCTCAGAAGGGTCAACTGTGCCCGCTCGGAGGAAGAACAAAACCTAGTGGCCTTCCAGTACCGGGGTCAGATATACTTCAGGTGTGTTGTTGTCTTGAAATCCACGGATCTGTCCTATCAAACTGCGTGTTATATTTTGTGTGCAGTTTGCCTTATGGTACCTGCAAATTTTCTCATAGATTCATCTAAGTTATTGATGACCATTGCTGTATTGACTGGATAAAGGTCATGTCATGACCAATTGTGATATATTGATCTCCCTATGCAGGACGTCAAAGCCCGTTCCGCGGGGCTCTGAGCTGCTGGTGTACTACGGAGACGACTCGGCCCGGGAACTGACCGTCCACTCGGAGACGTCTGGGCAGTCTGTGACTTCCTCTCCGGCCGGACCGTCATCTTCAGGTCAGTTCATCGTTGGCGGCTCCGAGGGCTATGGCGTCCATCGAAAGGATCCTGGAGATAAATTTACTTTCCTACCGACACTCTTGACTATGCTCTTGTCCGGTCCGTTCATTTTTGTTTGTTTTGTTGGGTCCGGCCCTTTCTGTCCTATAAGACCATTTCAGAGCCGGAAGGATGATAGGGATTAGGGAAGGCATTGGTCTGGACAGGCACCCCAGTGAGTCACCTGGGCTGAGCCCGTCCGGTTGGACAGGCCGCGTAACCCACTGGCACTCACTGCACCCGGCTACGGGCTAGCTCCAGTGGAGCCATTCCCGTATGGGTTATAGTTGCCCGTCCAGCCCGGAGCAGGGGGTTTGAGGCGTGGAGGAGAAGGATTTGACTGTCCTGAGGATGGAAACGACGGAACGGGTGGTCCGTTCAGTTGAAGCTGATCTAATGTAGGTATGTATGTAGGCTTGATGTATATTTACCAAACTACATGGTTTTGGTCTGTTGAACTGACATTTCGGTTTGCGATCTAATCCTTGCGCTTGAAGGTGAGGCGGATTGCCTCTGGTTTTGGTCAATGGTTCCCGAAAGAAACTTTAAAGGAAGGGTGCCACCTTTTGGACACAACGCAGTTTTTACAAGATTAGCCTCACATGAACCTAAAAACCGGCTTCACTTACCTATGCTCGAGACGGTCAGCATTGAATCCGCACGTGAAGTTATCATTTGCGAGTTTTGCTGCCAGCATTCGGGCAGGCAAAAATCTTCAGCACTATTTCCTCGTCGTGTTAAGGGTATTTTATAAAACATGAAATCAGCAAAGGTATGGATAAAAGTTATACTTTTGAAGCATGTTTTATCATTTTGAAAGGGTATATTTTTTCTTTATGGTATACACTTAAGTTTTAAAATTTTAATTGGGAAGTTTTTCTAGTAAGTTGCATGAAGGGTGAAGGGTTCCATAGATCTCTTAAGCATTGTAAAGGAAAAACCTTTACTCGACTTATTTGATGTTCTTTAACTGTTGGCAAATATGGCCAACAGTTACCTACTTGGTTACCTACAACTTAGTTCAAATCATGTTATCTTCTTCCTTTTTATTTGTTCATCTTTTTGTCTCAGTTGCGCCATCAATGCAAATGGCAGAATGATATGTTGCCATGACAACAGGATATGCCAGCCGTCCTAGCTGCCACATCAAACGACCTTGAGTTGTAGTGGTGATATAAACAACGATCTTTTTTTTTTGGCCAATGTATTAAATGCAATGTTTCGGTTTTTTGTATATTGTGGACGCGCTAACCACGTCTAAAAATTCAAATAAGTAAAATAGATTCATAGAACAAAAATTTCGGAAGGTGGCACCCTTCCTTTAACATATTGTTCAGTAACATATATTTGAACATTTAGCCCTCGCTGGGTCGGGGGGGGGGGTGTTTTGACCCCCGTCTTGTTTTTTCGGCGTATATATATTGCGTATCGAGCGTTTAACACTTTCTTCGCCGTGTTTTCGAGTTCTCGGACTATTTTCTTGTATTCTCTTGGGTATTCAGACACGATAGTTCCAAAATAGGTCCCACTGTATTGATGAGTATGCGACGTTTCGTTCATAATAGAACATCTTCAGGCTAAATTAAAAGTACATATTTACAAAATTATACGAAAAGCTGCTTGACTGTGACTCTAAAAGTAGGGGAGAGTGGGGAAAGATGCCCAGGGTTTTACTATGTCATATATTATTCGAAAATGACGATCGGAAAGCAAAAACTTGGAGTTTCAACGGAAGTCGACATCATTTTTCTCCAAAAACATCACACTTTCGTGCCTGAAATATGATAACTTTTTTTGCTATAAAGCATTTTCCTGAAGAAGTCAAAGGGGGCATCTTACCCCACAGGGTGGGGAAGACGCCCCCTGGCGTTGGGGAAGATGCCCCCTGCACTATAAGTGACATAAATGGGCACGTGAATCGCCTGAACGAATCAGTAGTCCCTTCGAGCCTGCAGTAGACACCAAACGTCATCGTAAGGGCCCTCAAAAGTGGTCGTAAGGTGCTTCAGAGGTCATCGTTAGGGTCATCATAGTCCAGCGCGGCCAAACAAGCTTCCGTGGTGGCGTTCGGAGACCACTGTGGGGCCCTTATAGGTCTTCATGATGCTTGAGGGCCCTCGAGCCCATCGTGGGGACCGCAGATGCCAGCGCGGCCCGTGGAGCCAACGTGGGAGCCCTCAAAGGATATCGTGAGGGGCCCTGGAGCCAATAATGGGGCCCACCGAGGCCGTCGTGAGGGCTCTCAGAGTCGGATGCCGCCCAAAAAGTCGCTGTGTGGGCCGAGAGACCGGCATGGGGAGCACCCGACCGTACTGAACTCTCAATAGTCCCAGATCGGCTTTTGTCTCTCATCACAAGCATGTAATAAATGATTTGACGGGCTGCTTGAAGGACAGCCTACGGATTTAGGGGGGCGTCTTTCCCCATCAGGACAGGGGGCATCTTACCCCAAGGTACCGAAGTAACATTAAATCAGTACAATATGTTAGCCATAAAACTACACCCTGAAACAAACTGTTTGGGACACAGTACACGCATGTTAATGTATCACGACTATATCAAGGGACGCAAAAATTATCTACCTTCTTTGATATTTACAATGTTTTAACACCAAAATATTTTTCGAAAGCAGCAAATAAAAAACATGCATTCACCAGCCAGCCGTTGCCCAACTGAGCTTCGCAAATTTTTGTGCAGTTAACAAGGCAGGCTTCCGCTTTACGCTAAGAACATTAATTTCCGGGTTCAATTCTTTGTTTCGCCGCTAGAGGGGGTGGGGCGTCTTTCCCACCCTGGGCATCTTACCCCACTCTCCCCTATGTGGATGCGAGAGCAGCACGATAACTGATAAAGTAGGACATTTGTTTTTGGTTAACCCGCGCCGTGCTGGGGGGGGCGTTTTTACGCCCCCCCCCTCAGGTTTTTCGCGAATATCTCAAAAACGGCGGCGCGCAGCGCCGCCGTTTTTGGTACACGTGTTCCTACATCATTTCCGCACATGTTGTGAAAATTTCAGACCTAGGCCGTTCAAGGTCAGGTCACCAGGTCACGTCAAGTGACCTTACCTCAGAAAAAGTTCAAAGGCTCGCTATAGCTACACCGACTGAACGATCACTTTGAAACTTTCAGCGATTGATATGAGTAACAGTATGTATAAAATGTATATCTCGGATTTTTGATATCTGTGACCTAAGGTCAGAGGCCAGTTTTACCAAAAAATACCAGCCGGCCGCCGAAATAAAATATCCAGCCGAAAAAATAGACGCCACACAGCGACGAGTTTCACCAACAAAAAATTCCAGCCGACTTCGGACGGAAATTATTTGTCGCCGGTAGTCAGCTGATATTCTGTTACGATATCAAATTACGATATGTCAAGGAGGTTAATAAATCATTTAAAGCATGTTTTCAATCAAATTGAAGCGTAATTTCTAATGCAAATGCTTTATACATTTCGAAATATTATTATCGTAAATTATTACATTATTTTCAAGAGTAATTACAACAAAGTAGAGCATTATAAACTTTCACATCTATATTAACATTCTGGTGCCCAGCAAAAGCCAATACAATACAAAACTACCAAATTGTAAACGTAGGTACGTCATTCATAAAGGTGACGTAAGGAAGCTTGCATTTAAGGCAAATTTATGACGGATCTTTTTCCTGTCAGTCTATTATATTAATTTTTATAATACCTTCAACTTGCTACGTACCTTTTTGTCTGTTTTTAGTCGCACCTTGTAGAAAATCATCGTGTAGACCGAGAACGCAATGTGTGGACCTCCAGCTATGAGGTGGGGACTAAATGGGACCCACTCCAGTGGCAGCGGAGGGCACTGCCGACTTTTGGTCCCATTCTTTCCATGCAACGCCCATAGGGCTAATATTAAATATCAAAATCAAAGGGGGGCACGGTGCCCCGGTGCCCTACCCGTTCCGCCGCCTATGAGTCCCGCTCCCGACAGATCCGGGAGCCGCACCTCTTTCCTAGCTTTCAAAAGAGCGGCAAAGAAGCGGTCAGCATTGCTCCCAGAGACGCCACCTGAAGCTGGACGGACGACGGACAGTTCCGCTGCCGAGCGATTGAAGTTGAACTGCGGTGCTACGAGGCGGCTTCGCGTGCACTGCATTAGCACCTTCTAGCGGAAGTAAGAGGGCTAACGAGCTCGCCAAGGCCTATATATGTAAAGCATTGTGCAAAGGCGAGTGTCTTACCTTAAGAAAATACCTACCCAGATTAACTGCTGCACCGCGGTCATTGCAGGGCTGAGGGTACGTCGTTCGCTCCGCTTCGGCGAGGTGGAGGTCAGACTGCCCGGCTAGGTGGTTTTAGCCGATATGCAGGCCCCGTTTGCCGGGCCCGGTCGAGAAGAAGGAACGCCACACAGCAAAGAATATTTGCTCCGGGCCCGCTACACTGGTCCGGCTCGTAAGTCGTAACAAATTAACAATACCTGCGCTAGCGTCGTCGACCGTCGTTCGACTGCGCCCAGTACCGCTCAGTGGAGAGTCCTGCCGAACTCCTCTGCGTGTGCCCAGATCATTCGTTGCGCGCGGACACAATCGTCCGACGGAGACCGCTGTGCATTATGATCGGGTGGTCACCACCTTGGTCGCCGGCTTTCACACCCAGCCGAGCCGTCTGGCTACGCCCCAAATGATCGTCTAAGCCTTTCGATTGGTTTGTAACTCGGGTCTAATATCGAAATGTTTGGGAGTTAGGACATGTTAAATCCGTGTTCATGAACAAACATACATTATGCAACTAAAACGCTTTACTTACTTTAACTTTTCTAGGCTGATGACAAGGCATACATCTATTTCATTGCAATATTTCTAAAATGTAAATAAATCATGAGCAATGAGCATAAAAAACAACAGCGATCCACTAGAAGCTAGTGTGGAAATCCACTGACGTAGGTCGCCTCGTACTGGCGCAGCTCGTAGCTCGTCCA